GGCAGGGTTCTGATGCCGGCATTTTAAAAACTCCCCAGATAATTTTCATGCCCATTCAGGACTCAGAATAATGTTTTGAGTCTAACCCCAACCCACTCCTGCCCATTTTAGAGATGTGACTATTGAGGTTCAACTAGACAAAAAATCCCCTGTCATCAAGGTGATTCCGACTCATAGAGCTATAGGAGAGAGCAGACCTGCTTCTCTGGGTTTCCAAGGCTCTCAATCTTTTTTGGGGGGCGGAGGTGGGGGTATTTTATTTATTTTTAAAAACCTTTTATTGGGACCTCTTACATCTCTTATCACAATCCACACATGCCTCCAGTGTGTCAAGCACATAGGCCGCCATCATCATTTTCAAAGCATGCTCTTCCCACCTGAGCCCCTGATAACAGCTCCCCATTTTGTCTTCAGTGATCGTGTTGGGAAGGTGGGCTCTCGATCTTGAGAGGAGTAGAAAACCTCATCTTTCTCCCGAGAAGCTGCTGGTGGATTCTAACCGCTAACCTTGTAGTTCACAGCCCAACTCAAAGCCCACTCTGCCACCAGGGCCTTGACTGCTGTCCAAAGACACGCTCATTAATTTGCTCACAGGACTGACTATCCAGGGGCTTCATAAAGCTTGTGGGGGGGGGGGAATGGAGTTAAAAATAATGAAATTTTTCCATAAACTTTTTTATAGTGATTTAGATAAAAATGTATAGATCTTCAGTTTTACATGAAAAAATATACACATTTTATTTCAACTCCATTTTAATTCCTTCAATGTACGATGCCTCATCCTACTCCCAGTGTTCCCACTTTCCACTGCTGCTTCCCTCATCGCCTGTCCTTAGGTCAACGCTGCCCATTTAAAGTGAAATGGTTAAGTATTCTAACACAGGTGGCGTTCAATTTTAGACCTGAAGAGTAAATAAGGGTCTGGGTATGTGTGTGTGTCCCACTCATCTGCATCCAACCAATAAACCTGGTCTCTTTTAGGATTCTGAGTTCAGTTTCATATTTTTCTCCCATTCTATTACTTTCTTCCTTTTTTGTTTCCTCCCAAAACCATTTTATTGGGAGTTCATACAGATAGTATATCATCTCATAGTTCAATCACATCAAGCAGTATCAGTGTACAATTGCTACCATAATCAGTTTCAAAACTTTCTCTTCTTTCTTGAACTCCTTGATGTCAGCCTCCCTTTACCCCCTCGCCCCCATGGTACCCCTCGGAAACCCTTATTCTACTTGTTATCTGTATAGGTTCATGGCTTTCATATACCGAAAAACAGAAGAATACATAACAAAAATGCAAGAGGGCTACCCACAATGCTAGACTACATCAGCGATAAACCCCAATATGAAACACCACACACACACACACACACACAGAGAGAGAAAATGTTGAAAACCAGATCAGGCCCAATGTGTATCCCAGGGGAGATACTGACAAGATTTTAACCATTCTGGTCGGGTTTATCATTTTGATCTCCTATGGTCATCTCTCCAATATAGTTTGGTAACTAGCTTATTCCCATTCCTACATTATGGATAGAGGGAAATCACTGGAGGTTTATTCCCTGTGCAGATCTCACAAATATCTTGGGGTTCCCACTGTCATCCATAGCCTTCTGCGAACCAGAATCTCACAATTTAGGCTCTGATACTATTCCCTCCTTTAACTTCGGATTATATGATTTACAGTCCTTGGGACATTGATGTTGGTGTGCTTCCTTCATGTGGGCTTAGTTGACAGCTCACTCGGGTGGCTACTTTTTTGAAAACAATTCTTTAAGAGTCCACACAATACTTTATCTGTATCTATCACTTTCTTTCTTTTTTTCCACTGGTAGAAGTCCTTTCATTTTTTTCTTTTCAAATCAGCAGAGCTTTGAAATTGGGCAACATTATGCTACCATTTACATTTCAGAGGGGACAAAAATGAATACACCTACCCCACTCTACTCTTCAATATAAAAGTAGTTTCTCCAAGTACAATTAAAAATTGCCTCCATCATCTTTTTCTTCAGGGAATTATTAAGCCCCTAAAAATTAAGGGTTTTTAAAAAATAACAGGGGGCTTAAAAAACTCTAAGAAAAATCCCCCAAATCTTTTGATTCCCTTTTTCTATGAACTTTTTGAAGTCCCTTCATATTTCTCAGAGCATCTTATCACTCTTTGCTTTTCTTTGGTATTCAATACCTTGGATTATGATGCCAACTCACATAATAAAGTTGAGTTTTTTTTTACTTTGATAATGCTTCATCTTTTTAGTATAAAATCAGACTGAGTACATTTATAGTTCCTGCCAAGCACTTCATCTTATGAAGTTTTCAAATTTCATTCATTTTTTTTCATGATTCCAAATGCACTAAGAATTCTGGGAAAAGACGTGTGAATGTATACTACATGCCTGTTTTATCTAAAATATTAAGATTAGGGAACATCTGGGAAGTTTACTAAATTGCCAATCGAATTTAAACCCAAATGCAAATATTCACATCATAAATTTTCTATGCATTCTACAGGGATAGTTAATTGATTATATTATTCTGAAAACATATATTCTATATTACATTTGATTTAATCAAGTCCCATAGTTCGCATTTTTTAAGTGTTGTGAATTTAGTGTTTATTTTTGTAATCCAACAACTTGATCCAAAAATGCAGAAAATTTTTCGGGCTGGCCAGGAGGAAAACATTTTAGTGTTGATAAGTCCATTGACTGTAACAGCCCAGGAAGCGTGCTGCAGGAACAGTAGAAGAGATGCCCCTCTTTGTGCAGCTGCTTTTCCTTTCTCCAGAGTCTCCAAACAGCGTCCTGCAGCTGCGTGACTGATGACAAGATCTGCCCTCCAAAGGTCGTCTTATAAGGACTTCTTGTACCTGTACACCTCCAGAGCCAAGGACTCCGTAAGAACACCTCTGGCACCAGGCTTCCTCGCCAATCTGCAGCACCTGCCGGCTGTACCCAAGGTTCTTGAGGATTTCCAGACTGGTGCCGAAACACATGCAATGAGCTCATCAAAGCTGGTGGGTGGTCCCAACTGTAACAAATAAGCACTTCCTGTATCTAGCACTTTCTAATCCCATCCTTTTCAGAGCAGTTGGTAGTGGTAGCTGGATTATCATCTGGTTCTTATGGTCTCAGACACACTTTTTGAAGACCTGTCGCGTATACTTTCAATTAATAACAAAACAAACAAAGCCACACACACAAATGGTATTTGTTTGTAAAAATAAAACTCAAACAAAAGCCCCAGAATACTAAACCCATTGTCCTCAATTCACAGTGATCCAATAGGAGGGGGTAGAACTGCCCCATAGAGCTTCCAAGGCTGTAATCTTTAGTCTGGTTACCACATCTTAGTCCCAAAGAACGCTGGGTGCTGAGTGCTTAACTCTTGTGCCACTAGGGTGCCTTACATTAATGTAAGTGCATCATGGAGTGCATCAGAAGCCCTTGATGGAATCAGAATCCCTTGTGTGTTCCTACACAAATGGGTGCCCCCACCCCAAGTTTCTCATTCAATGGATTTAGGGGAGGGGAGAGATCAATTAGTATTTCTAACAAGGTCCCCAGGGTGGTTGGTGCTCCTTGCCTAGGGACTACCCTTTGGGAACTATTGTCTGCTGAGAATTTGGGCTATGGAATCAGACTGTCATGGTAAAATCTAGCACCTTACAAGAAGTGAGAACTTGGGACTTGGGGACCCAAAAGAAATCTGAAGGAGCAAGATCAGTACTGTAGGGTAAATGGGGTGAGGTCTACCATAGGTGAGCCTTTACTACAGTCAAAGAATGAGCAGGTGGTCGGTGTAATGGAAAAAAAAAATCGTAGGTACAACTCTCCTGTCCTTTTTTGTTTTAAAAAATGAATGCAGATTTCTATTACACTGACACCCCTTCATAATGTTACCACAATTATTTTACTTATTGTAGTAAGGGGAAAAAATCCCCCTTACAAAGTGCAGTTAGCCTAAGCTACTTTATTTATCACATGCAGTCTCTATGGATTTTTTTCCATTGCTCAAAGGCAGGTTGGATGTGAAAGTCACCTAGCGGGGCCAGAGAACAGTCTTCTATGATTTACCTGACTGGTAGTGCTAACACCTAAGCCCTGCCTGGCAGTTAGTCAACAAAAACATCCTGAGGCTGAAAGGACCTATGGTTCTGTTTGCTGGCACATGGTCAACACTTCCCATTGTTAAGCTCAAACCTGAGTTAAGGTAAAACATCTATAGGTGACTCCCCGAAGCATAAATTCCAAAAAAGAACGAATTCACATAAAAATGACTAAGCAGGGCGGGGGGTGTGGGGAGCGCTACCCCTTTGATACCCGGATCTCCTCAGTGTCTTCATGTTACTTCATGTTAGCTACTCATTCCTTCCGTCACACACACTCACCTCACGTTGTTTTTGTTTGTTGTTTTCATGCTCACACGGGAGTGCTTTCCTGGAGACTGGTTCTCTACCTTTTGCTGGATGAGGGAACCACAGTTTCCAAAAACAGGTCGAGTTTTCAGCAGCAAAGGTCCGCCTCATCGCTTTGGGGCCCAAAGGTGCTGTGGGTCTTTCTCCAGAGGGCACCTATACTCAAAAACTAGTCTCTTTTCTTGGGAAGGTGTTTTCCTTCTAATGGTTTTTGTTAGCCCTGGTTGCTTTGAACTGCACACGTTTGCGCGGTGTGAGGGGACGGGTGGAATTGGCCTTCGTCGTGAGACCTTAATTGGGGAGAATAATGACTGACGGTTGCAACGACCATGCTTCGGTCGCTCCTTCCCTCCGTGGGCTCAGGAAGCCCCGCGCACCCCAGGGAGCCCGGCCAGGCCTGGAAAACGGGAGGCTGTGGACAGGCGCCTCTCGGTTACCTGGCAACGTGAGCTTCAGTTTCTCAAAGGGGCGGGACTGAGAGAGGAAGCCGGAAGTGGACGGGAAATCTCGCGAGAGTTGTGTTTGCGCGCGAACTCTCCCGCGCGAGGGTCTGGGTCCCGATCGCCGCTCGTCTCTGTGCTGTTGCTGGCGAGGCGTGGCCATCTCCGTGGGCCCGGTCACCCTCGTCTCTCCGCCATGGAGACCTCCGTGCCCCAGGAGCAGCAGCAACCGGCGCCGACTAAGAGCAGGAATCTGCCCTGGTAGGAGGCCGGCCCCGCGGTGGGAGGCTCGGCCGCGCTGGGTGCAGGGTGGCGGTGGCGAATGTCCGGGCCCCCGGCCGAGCTCGCTTCGCTGCCCCCCGACCGCGGCCAGCGGGAGATGGAGGTTTACCTGCCTACCGCTTCCCCACCTCCCCCGTCCTGTTTAGGATCGTGCCCCTTTGCAAGTCTCAAGCGCTCCACTCCACTCCTAGCCCCATATTCCATTTCTCGCTAAGAAAGCGGTTGTCACACCTTGGTGATGGAAACGGGATTCGTTCCCACCTCTTTTGACACCTGCGTTAGACCTCCCTGCCAGAATCTCTTCTTGATCGATTCTTACTTTGGAATTCCTTAACTATGTGCGCACATACATAATAAAGAGAGAAGACGGCAACATTCCCTAATTCGCATCTTTTAAGAGGCTTGGTGTGCGATAGACGGCATGCTTACTAGATATTCGGGGTGCATGAACTCATTTCTATTTCACAGGTGTGGAAACAACCGGCCTTTAAAACAAAAACTGCCACTGAGTGGATGCCAACTCATAGTGACCCTATAGGCAGGGTAGAACTGCCCTGTACACCTTGTGGTTAGCAGCCCAATTTAAGCCACCAGGATCTTAGGAAGGTTAAATTAATTACCTGAAAGTAGGCTTAATGATCAAACCATCCTACTCCCAGAATGTCAAGCATCGAAAAGTCTGGTTGGGTCTGACTCGATTGGAAAAACTCCAGATTGTTCTTGTCTAAGAACTGGATCCGTTTTTAAAGAAAATGATAATAAGAAGCACATATCATACCACTGATTTTTGTAACCAGTTAAACAAGTATAATTCATCACCCCAAATCTATGAAGACCTCCCAGACCTGTTTAGCAGTGCACCTCTTCCCTCCACGGAGACAAATCTCTGTGTATGGCCTGGCCTATTCTGGACACTTAATAAAGATGACTTGTAATGTCTTGTTGTTTATATCTGCCTCATCTTACTTAGCATAGTATTTTCAAGGTTCATCTGAGCCCTGGCATGTATCAGAATTACCTCATGCCTTTTGTTTGTTTTTCCTCATGCCTTTCCATGGCTGAGTAAGATTCTATTATTTCTGTGTGTCTGTTCACCTTGGGTACATTTAATTTTGCTTCCTTCTAACTAGAGTAGGGTTCTGTGGACTTGGAGACTATGGGCAGGCAGCTGCAGAGATGGGATGAGGCCAGGCTTTTTAAACCTTAGCCCTAGTGATATTTGGGGCCAGCTACTTTGTATGTTGGGGGGTAGCCACTCTCCTGTACATTGTAGTCTATTTAAGAGCATACTGACCTTTCCCCCCACCCTCCCCAGTTGTGACAACCAAACCTGCCCCCCACCCCCAGGAGATAAAATCACCTTGGCCGACAACCTGTCTGTATTAAAAAGAAATCAGAAAAAAAAAGAAATAGGCTTGTGTTTCTCTTCTTTTCAGGAGGATTTGAAAGGATTCTGTTGCCTCTGACAAACTGTTCTCGTGTTGGTATATTCCATTGTTTTTTCAGGGTTGAGAAATACCGGCCCCAGACACTAGGTGATCTTATATCTCACCAGGACATCCTGAGTACCAGTAAGTGTCCCCCATCAGTTGCTGTTGTTCTAGTTGAAGGACCTGGGTGAGTTCCTGGGTGATGTTATCGCCGCTGATAACTTTCAAGAATCTGAATGTGGTCTTGAGCGTTGAAATCCTTCAGGTTTTTCTTTCCTGCACCTGGGTTGGAGCGCGGCACTAGGCTGAGGTGGACAGTGGCGACTACAGGAAACTGAGGGTGTCTATTTCTTCCTCATCCTCAGTTCAGAAATTTATCAGTGAGGACCGCCTGCCGCACCTGCTTCTGTACGGTCCTCCCGGGACGGGAAAGACATCTACCATCCTAGCTTGTGCCAAGCAGCTCTACAAAGATAAAGAATTTGGGTCCATGGTCTTGGAGGTAAACACAACTAGTCTTCGTCTACAATAGCTGGTAACTAATTGTAAAGGTATGTTTCTCCAGTGGGCGCTGGAAAAGCAACCTGTGTGGGATCAGATTCTGTAATTTGCCCTTTTCTGCAGTGGCCGTTTTGGTCTGGATTAGCATCAGCCACTGGAGGCCAAGGGGAGCTAGCCCACTTTCACCCCAGTTCATGTCTGGTCGCTCGGGGCAGACTGGATCCTATATATTCCTCCACATTCTTTCCCTGGAAGTACTGATCACAAGATTCCTCTCCCTCTGGCTCCTTCCTGGTTGGGATTAGCTAAAGAGCCTAATGGGGCCCTGGCAGAAGGAGGCATCTCTCTGTCTCTCTTTTTCTCTCTCAGCCTCAAAGGCTGGCAATGTCCTTAACTGTAGTGGTTTCCCCCTGCCCCGCAAGCATCTTTCAAGATATCCCATTTAATTCTGTCCAAGTAACTGGATTTGAGCATGCCATCTGCTTACTGCGGAGACTCTGATAGATGACAAAAATATACACATTGTTATCTGTTGCAAGAAAAAAAGGCTAAACTTAATTTTTAGCTATGGGTTTTAGAACCTGGCTGCCGCCAATATTCTCACTTCTTTGTGCTAGCAATCTGGTAACCTCTGGGCTGGGCTAGATTGTGGTAGCTAAAATTCGCACCATTCTGCTCATGCCAGAGGTGCCTGCGGTGTGACCAGGCCAATTAATGACTCCTCCAGTTTATGGCTGAGTGAGCATTCTCAAAGGTCTTTTCACCATGGAATGGACAGTCAGTGAGTTTGAATACAACTGGTTTCTTATGAGAGTGTATGTGTGTGTGTGCGTGCGCACTTAAAAATGATGAGCTGTCATCAGACCCAGAGGCCTAGCTGGCTGAACTGGATGGAATAAAAGATAAGTTTAAACCCAGAATTCATTGACTGCATCCCAGCATACATTTTGATGCTGGCTTCTCTCTTTCTGCATTTAGCTGAATGCTTCAGATGACCGAGGAATAGATATTGTTCGGGGACCAGTCCTGAGCTTTGCTAGTACAAGGACAATATTTAAGTAAGTATCATGCGGATCGTTCTCTCTAGACATGTTGTTGGTGTTACTGCTATATCTATTAGCGGGGAGCTGTCAAAAGCTTGTGGGGAAGTGCCACCATCTGTCATTGTAACTTTCTTTTCTAGCTGGGAAACCTGAGCATAGTTCAGATGATAAAAAATGTACTGCAGCTGTCAGGTACCTGGGAGGTGCCTGCCACTCATATGGACCCAATAGACAACAGAAGGAAACACTGGCCGCTGCCCCATCCTCGCAGTGAGGTTTGAGCCCATCGTTGCAGCCACCAGGCCAGTCCATCTCCTTGAGGGTTCTTCCTCTTTTTGGTTTACCCTTGACCGTTCCCAGCAGGATGGTCTGATCAGTAACTAACTAATCCTCACTGCAGGTCTCCTCCGTGGTCAGCAGTACTGCCCATCCAGGTCCTGACACTGGAAGGCTCCCTTGCCCTGAGCTTTCAAAACGGCAGTCCACCCTCACCCGAGTCCTTCCACCTTTCTCCACCCCCATGAAACCACCCCCACAGTCAGACAATTTCCCTCATTTGGATTCTAGGAGAGAGTAGATCCTCTCAACCTATTTTTCTATGTAGAAGCCAAAACTTTTTTTTTTTTTTTAACCATCTACTCTTGGGGATCCTGTATAAGGTTGCTATGAATCAAAATCAACTCTGGGAGTGGGTTTTTTTTGAGTAGGTACCTTGAGTAGATCAGTGATTTACCTGCCTTTCCCATCCCGATCGGATTGGGGATGAAAACCTGTTCTTGACCTTTTGTCACAGTGGCCTCACAGGCGAGCTGCCTTGCTGTGAGGGACTTCCCTCAGAACAGTGCCCTCCGGGGTCTTGAGAGATTGAGATCCGTGACCTGATGGAGCGTATGTTGTGTGTCCTTTCCTTGACCAGTGCGTCCAGGTTAAAAATGACTGTCAGAAGTAGCGGTGAGAATGAACACGATGTGTGGGGATTCGGTAGGAAATGCTGTGATACCAGTAGGAGAGGAGATCAATGAACCTAGACTAGCAGTCCCTCCCCCAGGAAAGAAAGACGGAAAAGCACACTGTCATTGAGTCGATTCCCACGCACGGCCACCCTACACGGGATTTCCAAGGTTACACGTCTTTACAGGAGCAGGACGGCCTCATCGGTCCCCAAGGAGTGGCTGGTGGGTTTGAACTGCTGACCATGGGGTTAGCAGCCCAACGCTTACTCAACACCACCCCCAGGACCCCTTAGCACAGTTCCTTAAGGAGCCTAACTTCCAGTCTTAGTTAACCAAAGACTGCTTATGTCCTAAGACTGGCTGAGCTTGTGTCAAATGAAACAAGCATGAATTGAGATGGGGGAGCTCAGTAGGATGGTGGTCAAGAAAGCACATTTAAGCACCAGTGAAAGTAGAGGGGTGGAGTGGTTAGAGAAGACGGAAGAAAGGATCAGGAGTCAGAAGATACAGTGTAACAGGTATGCAGACAGGACCTCATTTCCCAAGAAGGGTCGAGGGCTTCATGGGATAGGTAGTTCCTTTCTGTCTGAGGACATGTCTCCTCTGACCAGAGTTCTCAAAGAGAGGGCTGGCTAGCACATGGGGAGCTAGAAGTTGCTAGATGGCAGAGGTCTTTAGATGGTGCCCTTTGTTCCCATAGGAAAGGCTTTAAACTGGTGATCTTGGATGAAGCGGACGCCATGACTCAAGATGCCCAGAATGCCCTGAGGAGAGGTACAATCAGCGTCAAAGGAGGCGGGCGGGGCTTGCCTTTAGTTTTTACCAGTCTGATCTTCTGGTTCATGGATCCCATCTTAGGATCTCTCTCTCTCTGTGTCGGGGCCTCCTCCCCTCTTCTGTTCAGCAGCAGAACATGAGCCCTGGTGGGCCATCGTCAGTCGGACTCGTTTCAAAAGTTGAGAAATCGTATGGCTTGGAAGCGATGGACAGTCTTTCATCTCTACATTGCTGGATAGACCTTTCTGCCCTTTTGAGTGCTGAGATACAACATAAAACTCAAACTCACTGCCGCCGAGTGGGTGCCGACGCAGAGAGACCCCTGTGGGACAGGGCAGACTGTCCCTATGAATTTCCAATCCTATAACTCTTTGTGGGAGTGGAGAGTCCTGTCTGTCTCCCAAGGAGCGACTGGTGGTTTCAAACTGCTGACCTTTCAGTTAGCACCAACTCTAACCACTGTGCCACCAGCGCTCCGAGATACATACGACTAGAAGTTTGGCACATTCCAAATGCTGACATTTGCCCACAGGACAGTTGGACAGGGAAGGGACAGTGTACTTTGTATGTGTCTCAACCCTTTGGGGAACTACTGCTGCAGAATTCGCTTCAAGGACAGTGGTGGTGGTGGTGGTGGTGGTGGGTGCCAAGTTTGTTGCAACTCATCAAAACTGTGGGTACATTACAGCAAGACCGTGCTTGGTCCTTCCCGTGCCATCCTCCTGATTATAACTGTGTGTGAACAGATTGTTGCAACCACCTTGTGAATCCTTCTCCATTAAGAATCGTTCTCTTTTTCACGGACTCTACCAAAACCGAGGTCCTCCAAGAACCGGTCCCTCCCGAGAGCATGTGCAGAGTACCCGAGATGAAGTGTTACCATCCTCCCCTGTAGTTCTCCCAAGATACTGGTTCACTTTTCTGGGAATTCCTGGGCTTCCCTATCCTCCAGCTTTCACATGCATCCGAGGCGATTCAAAATCCCACACCGTGGGTCAGGCCCACCTTAGTCCACAAAATGACATCTTTGCTTTTTTAAATACTTCAGAAGAAGTCTTTTGTAGCAGATGCGCCCAGGGCAGCACATCATTTGGTTTCCTGGCCGCTGCCCGGTTGCTGATTATGGATCTAAGGAAGAGAGCATTCTTGACCACGTCCATCTTCTCCCCACTGAGCATGCTCTTACTTAGCATTGCACTTGTGTGGGCTTGGGTGTCATCCAGACAGAAGGTTGTGGTCTTCGATCCTCATCGGCAAGTGCTTGCTTCAAGTCCTCTCTGCTTTCAGTCAGCAAGGACTTGGGCCACTGGGGAGCCTGGGCCTCGAGAAGAACCTTCTCTCAGCATGTGTGTAAGAGGAGGAGGCAGGCATCGGTAGCCCTTGTCTAGCCATCTCAGGTGGGCCAAGTGCCCGTCTGGGCTCCTCGCAGGGCAGAAAGCCGAGTCCCTGCAGAGGGAAACGGTGTTCTACGTGTCTCTGAATCCAGGTCATTGCTCTCTCAGGAGTGCTCTGAGGCTTCCAGAGGATGCCCACTGTAGAGTCGAGTCTGCAGAAAGCCATCTCCCCCCCTGCACGGCAGAAGGCAGCTAGCTAGCTACAGATGATGACTGCACAAGGTGGAAGAATCTGCACAATGCGCTGAGACCTGAGGTGACTTTGTTTCCCCTTTCCAGTGATTGAGAAGTTCACGGAAAACACCCGATTCTGCCTCATCTGCAACTATCTGTCCAAGATCATCCCTGCCCTGCAGTCGCGGTGTACCAGGTTCCGGTTTGGCCCCCTGACTCCTGAACTGATGGTCCCCCGCCTGGAACATGTTGTGAGGGAAGAGAGGTGAGTATGCAGCCAGGCGGGAAAGGGGAGGACTTTCGGGGGTGGTGTCCATGGGCCAGGGATGACCGATGTGCCCCCTTGAAATGAGGTGAGTGCAGAGCACTGGCGGGACCTCTGTGGCTCCCGGCCTTCTTCATCATCAGCAGCTTCTGGCTGTTCTTGAGTCCAAGCTCCTCTCCTGGAAGCCGCCCCAGTTGCCTCCTCCTCTCCTTGTGGTGCTGGAAACCGCATGCTGCCGAGTCTCTTCTGTTAACACGTCTCTTGCTTTCTTGACGGGCAGGGAAGGTTCCGGGGCACTGCATTCGCTGTGACCAGATGCCCAGCCAGTAGCCGCCCCGAGCCACTGCCTGTTTGGAAGGCAGGCCTTCAGCCCTGCGATCGAGTGCCTTGCTGGAAGGAAAACTCAGTGCACTTCCTCAACACTGAGAGCTCAGTCCTACAGAAGCATCTTCCTAGATTTTGAGGGGGCTGGGAGTGCTTAAGAGCCCTGGTGGCACCATGGTTAAAGCGCTCGGCTGCTAACCAAAAGGCCAGCCATTCAAGGCCACCAGCCGCTGCACAGGAGAAAGAAGTGGCCGTCTGTCTGCAAAGAGGATGGCGTTGGGAACCCACGGGGCAGTTCTGCGCCTTCCCACAGGGTCACCGTGAATAGGGGTGGGCTCGGCCATCCCTAGACTCCTAAAGGTCAAGAGCATGTTGCTAATTCCAGTCTCTGATCATTCCGGGTCACCTTGAACCCTGGCAAGTGCCTGTCTTCTCCCGGGCCTCTGAACCCCCCCCTTCCTTTCAGAGTTGACATAAGCGAAGATGGGATGAAGGCACTCGTGACACTGTCCAGTGGAGATATGAGAAGGGCGCTGAACATCTTGCAGGTACAGCCTCTGGCTTGCAGCAGCCCTCAAACCGTTAACCGTTTTTTCTGGAAAGATGGGAGAAAGTAACAACACAACCTGGGACCTGGGACCTGGCACATGCCAGTGACACGCCCAGTCTGCCTGTAGTAGTTGTGTCAGGACAGTTGGTTATGAACCAGCGAGCAATAGCGATGGGTTCTGGGTTCTGAGCCGCCACCTGCCACCCCATAGCACTTGTCTCTGCCGAGTCCCCTCCCGCCTTGGTCCGACTGGTGCCCGTATCCTATTGCTGCCTCAGCTGTTGTGGTGAAAGCCACCATGATCCATCCTTCTGCACAGAGCACCAACATGGCCTTTGGGAAGGTCACAGAGGAGACGGTGTACACCTGCACAGGACACCCGCTCAAGTCGGACATCTCTAACATCCTGGACTGGATGTTGAATGAAGACTTCACCACAGCCTACAGGAGTATCCTCTGTGACCACTGTGCGGAGGGCCTGGGCCCCACGCAAGGCCCCTTCGGCCAGCACTTACCCTTTGCTGGTGAAAGGTTGGTCAGATGTGACTCTGGTCAGCTTGCCATGGGAGGTGGTCTGGGGACTTGTCCGAAGCACCCTCAGGTTCTTCCCAAAGGGCTCTGACCTGGGTGGGCCGGAGGCAGCTTCTCTGACGCCCTTTGTGCAGCTAGGCAGCCCCACTGCAGGAGGGAAGCTGGCGGCTGGTCTATACCGGCAGGAGCGAGGCTGCTTCTCTCTGAGGGGCTTGCTGAACGAGGAAAACGGGAGAAGGGGGCCTGGTATGAAGGCACATTGTCTTCACTGTGGATGCAGCCTTCCCTGCAGTGTTTGTTGTGGAACTTGCTCCCTTTGCCTTAACTGCACCGCTCCAGATATCATGGCGCTGAAAACGCTGAAGGGGCTGGCGCTACAGGACATCCTGACTGAGATACACCTGTTTGTGCATAGAGGTAACTCCCTAGGTCCCCCTCGTTGGGAAGCTGGGGTGCAGGTGGCAAGCTCGAGAGCACGGGGTGTGGGGCTGGCTGGGCCTAGAATGGGGACATAGGCTTCCTTCTTGAAGCCACGAATCTCGGGTGCAAAAGGATCTTTCTGATCACCCGTTTTCTGCAGTCTGGCCTGGCTCCTGTCGAGAACTCTGCTCCAGAGCCACTCCAGAAATTGAGGACCTGCTGGCAAGAACGTGCAGAGAAGCTCCTGGGGTTATACTTTCTTCCCCCAAACCGCCTATTTCGTTCCAAGTTCTAAGACTGCTCTCCCTCAAAGGAATGGGGGAGCAGGAAGAAGGTCTTTGGGAATCAAATCTGTCACTTGCTCCTACAGCCTCCACCGAGGCGGATTCAGCCAGGGGAGCACACAAGATGTCCTGGGCAGTGCAGTCAGCCTCCTGGGGTGGGGGTGGGGGGGTCCTGGCCCGGGGTATTTTTCCCAGCTCCCCAGGCGACCACTGTGCAGCCTTTTGGAGCCTTTCCCTACACAGCCGTCACCCCGGTGACTCCACTAGGCTGCTCCGTCCCCCATGTCCGCTGGCGGTTCCCACCTGCCTGGGTGTTCCCCTCTGCCCACAGATACGGGTGGCTCGAGCTGTGGAAGCTGAGCGTGAAATGACTTTACAGAGTGCTTTTAAAACGGACGGCTGAGTGAGAGCTTGGCTTTTAAGCCACGGGCCCCTGGCTGTCCCATTTTCAGAGCAGCGCCCATGATTAGCCGTGTGCGTACGAGCGCTTTGGAAAGGGCACTACAGCGTGGGGCAGACAGCGCGAGCGCCTGCCAAGAGCAGCTGTGTTCACTGGCTGGCGCCTCAACCCCACTTCCTGCTGGGACTTTGTTGGAGCAGTGGCACCTCACCGTTGGTTCTGTCTCCCCTCAGTTGACTTCCCATCTTCGGTTCGAGTACAGTTACTGACCAAGATGGCAGACATCGAGTAAGTAATTGGATTACCCCGTTTCTACTCCTATTCCTCTTTTTTCCTGTCATGGGTTCTTGTTGCTGCTTGTTTGGCGGTTCAAACCCACTGGCTGCTCTGCAGGAAGATGAGGCCCTCTGCTCCTATAAAGACTTACCGCCCTGGAAAGTCTATGCAGGGCTGCTCTGGGAGGGAGTGGGCTTGGTGTTCGGGGGCTGTTTGCTTGGTCCCAGGCCTTCAAACCTCGGGTCACCTGACTTGGTGGTGGCATTGGAGGAAATGAAGCAGCTGCTCTGATGAAGCACACACAAGGACAGGTTCCGCGGGCGGGGACCTGCACACAGACCCCTGCTGAGCTGGCACAGCCTCGGGCTGGTGGGGAGGCCTATTTCAGTCAGACTGTCAGTGTTGTGCATCTAGGTCACTTGGGGCTGCCCAGCCTAGCTGTCCAGCTGTTATGGAGGCATTTTGGCATACTAAAGCATAAGGGGGGAGAGAGAAGGGGAGTCAACATAAACCCAATTTTCCACTTTGCCTAGTTTGGTAAACACTGTGATTAGCCCCCAGTGGAGCTGGCAGCTATCACTGAATCAACAAAGCGTCTTGGTCAGAATAGCTGTCAACACAGGCACGCTCATTTGCTGGCCCTCAGCTTTTACATCGGCACATTAGGTCCCTCCTGTTCACCACGCTGTGAATGTCACCGCTCTCAGCGGCCAGGTGTGCCAAAGGGTGGCTCAGCGAGTTGCCAGGTCCCACCTTGGTGGAACCACAGGTGCCAACTGAAAAGCCCGGTAAAGTATGTCAGCGAGAAGAAAAGAGACCGTGGTTAGAATTCTTGTTGCATTTGGTGGGTGGAGAAACCCTCCTTCAGCCCAAGAAGTTCTGTCTGTCTGCCTTCAGGGGAGCAGAGTGGTGCTCAGACACGGCTCTTGGTCACCACACCTTCTTCCAGAGCAGGTGTATATTTCACAGCAGGGAAGAAAACGTAGGCCCGACACAGCAGATTCTCTCCAAGATAAATGTGTGTCACTTCCCACCCCCCAAACAGATTTCCTGCCTGCGATTCCTCTTCTCTTGTCCAAAGTCAGGGAGGGGTGGCCATCTTCAGTCTCACCTGGCTGCCTTTCTTTCAGGTACAGACTCTCTCTCGGCACCAATGAGAAGATCCAGCTGAGCTCCCTCATCGCTGCTTTTCAAGTCACCAGGGACCTGATTGTCTCCCAGGCCTAGCTGCCAGGGCCTGTTGGCTCCAGTTCCCACGGGCCAGCAGTGAACAGACCACAGGGGTCAGTTCCAGGACAGGCTGCTGCCCTGGGCAGGTGTGACAATGCTAGCCATCCCCAGCCTTGGAAAACTGCATCCCAGGCTTGGGTGAGCCTGCTGTTGAAAAGTACAGCCTGTGGGGGACAGGTCGGAGCAGGGATGTGCAAGCGTTTTTCATGCATGTCATCTTCCTGCCCTTCAAGGTTGGAGAAACAAACACTTGACGGCCTAAAGCTTGTGCCCAGTAATTTCTTCGGCGCTGACGGGGGAAGTAAGCCATCAACCTCGTTGAGATGCGCAGCACACAGCTTTCAAACACAACATGGTCCACACGGTTTCCAACTCTAGTAACAGAGTTACCCTCCATCACTGAGTCCCCATCTATAATGTTAGTCCTGTGTCTGTATGACGTACGTAGATGTGAATGGGTTTCTGGCCAAGACTATTCTTTATAAAATAGACTCCGTTCTCCTTTCTTAAAAAATCTTTCCTCTCACAGGAGAATTGCTGGTAGCTGTGGTGTGGGACTGGAGGGCATAAACAGACATTGATGTTAAATATGACAGCTGTCCTTTAAGCTGTGCTGTTAGGGACCTGTGGTTGCACAAGACTGTCTTGTTTACCTCGAGAGCCTGAAAGATTAAGGCCGATTCTCCACCTGCAACTGCTGAAAGGATTGAAATTTCTGTTTGAGTTTAGCGGCTTATTTTACAGCAACTCTGCATTTATATTCCCACTCATTACTTAATTAAAAAAAAAACCAACACTGGCTGTGTGAAGCGACTCTTTCCTTACCCACTAAGGAAGACACCAACTTCCTTAACTTGTAGTGACACCAAAGCCTTTTCTATCTCTGCGACCATGGACCACATTTCCCCAGGAGGCTATGGTGGCATAGCCGGATACACAAGGTCAGCAGTTGGAACCCACCAGCCGTTCCACAGATGAAAAGTGAGGTTTTCTGTTCCCACAAAGATTGACAGCCTCAGAAACCCACAGGGCGGCTCTACTCTGTCCTCCAAGGTCTGAGCATCAGATTAATCTGGAAAGGGAGACGTCTATTAGTCCCATCACACGTAGTACGTTTGCTCCTCCAGGCACCAGAAGTTTGAAGGCTAACTGCCAAGCAGGGTTGAGCAAGGCCACCGCCAGTCCCCCTGGCCACACAATGAGAACAAGACCACCACCAAATGCAAAATGCAGTTCAATCCCAGCTAACGAGTCTTGTTTGAAAAGGTGATTTTTCTTCTTTAAAAAAAAGAGGGAAAAACCACCCAAAGCTTTTAACTGTGTTCCCCCCACTTCCCCTTTAAGAAACCCTCATTCTGCTAGAGGCGGGGCCTCTCCTCTCTTCCCGGTTCTGTAGTATGAACTGGCCTTCGGGAAGAACCCACCGGGAAGACCAAAGGATACCAAGTGACATCTCTTTTAGAATATATTAAATTTCCTAAGGCCGACTTTGCTCGACGGGGGTGATGTGATTGGCCAGCTGTGCTGCAGCTGGGGAGCTAAGGGGACAGAGCTGACCAGTCCAGCGGCTCAGGCAGGTCTCGCCTCAGCAAGAACGTCGGCGAAGTCACTACAAACCCCATTCTCCACAATTCAGAGACAGCTCACAACTGTTGACTTCAGGACTATGGTTTTTTAGTTATCATTGAGAAAACACAGCTGTACCTTAACATTTGTTGAGAAAATACAAATAAATACGATGCTACTTAGTGGCAAGCCACTGAGGGCTCAGCAGCCACGGGAAAGGTCATGCAGGTGAGGGATCCATCCCTCTGTAATCTTCAACCAACAAGTCACCTCCTGCACATGCGCACCACTGTGAGAAATGATCCTAGTGTCTATCGCTCCCAAACACACTCTGGTCCACCTGTGAGGAATCACAGAATAGACCAGACGGCTCCAGAGTCCTGTGAGCTGGTGGCCAAAGGAGGAGCCGGCTCAGAGGAAGGAAAGCATTGGTCAACGCCAGAGCAACTCTGACCACACATACCAGCTCCCACGACACTTGAGGGACAGCGTGAAAGGTACTGGGAAGCCACCCTGTTCCCCTGAGGGGACTTAAACTTGCCTGCCACTGAAGTGGGGCTCTTGAAGGCCAGTCACTGTTATCAGACATCAGTAACTGCGCTTGGAACCAAAAGGACAATGCTGATGAGAGTGGATTTAGGTGTAAGGGGGGAGAGGTCTGTTCCTGGGGGAGAGTGGGTGGAGTCCACCCCAAGACTGCCTTTCAGAGGCTGGAGAGAAAAGACCCAAGTAGGGCTGACCCCTAACGATCTGCATTTGCTACATTCTATTCACAATCCCAAACCGGATTTATGTTTCCAACCAAGACCAGCTGTCAGGCCCATAGGCCTGGACAGGAAGAACCACGTGAGCAAGCGAAGACTCCCAGAATGCTACTTAGAAAGTCCTGTATGTGAGGAACTCTTTCATCTTCTTGGGTATTGGCAGTGCTAGGACTTGGTAAGTTGTCAGGAAACTTCGGAGGGCTTTCCGGCATAAGTGCTTCAGGGAGGAGAGGACCCGCGGAGCCGTCCAGAACTGGACGTGGCCATCTCTTGTCCTGAAACCAAAGAGAGTGGTGAGTGGAGACAGACACAGAGTGTGTGTTCACTGTGAGGGGCGAAAGGCACCCCTGACTGGGAATGGAGATGGGGGCCCCGGTGCTGAGTAATGAAGGCGGCTGACAGGATTGTAGGAACCCAAGGCACTTCTGATGCCCATGTGCCATGTCTGTCAGCTCAAAACCAACCGCTGTCATCGTTATGACCCTCGTGGTGACCCTATGAGACTGGGTAGAACTGCCCCAAGTGGATTTCCAAAACTAACTGTTTTTAAGACTAGAAAGCCTCATCTTTCTCCTTAGGAATGGTTGGTGGTTTCGAACTGCTGACCTTGCGGTTAGCAACCCAACACATGACCACTACACACCAGGGCTCCCATTCCAGCACAGGCCTTTCTAAATCCGACTAGCTGTTCTCTTGTAAGAGGGAAGAGTGCCACCTACTGAATCATAAATGCTGCCTGGAAGATGTGTGTTCTTGCTCTGAATGGTTTCTCATAAATTCTTAATCTGGATGCCCTTCTGTGGACTTGGCCCATTAGATGGTGTGAGTTGTCAACCTTTCATTACATGTCCGTTAAGTATTAAGATGAAAAGATCACCAATTTGTTGGCAAAATGGACCATCAGAATTTTCTAAAATGCCGGATGGCCTCAAAGGCCCACCTCAGGCAGGAAAATGCTAGGGGCCTTCTTTCCCTACAAAGCTCCCAGGTGTAGCTATTCGACTCGCATACGTACCCTGTGGCAATCACTCCGCCGTGTGGGAAGAAGGTGCAACACAGACCATTGGTCATGGGTGCAAACGCGACGGGAGCTTTCAGTTCCAGGGCCCAGATCCGGAGGAGCCTGGACAGGAGGGGAAGCAACCCCGTTACACCAGGAGCGGCCTGGGGGCAGGCAGGCTGGCCGCCCGAGGGCTTGCTCTGAGGCTCCGCAAGCAGAGTAGCCCTCACCTGTCATCCGCCACTGTGGCCAGGTACAGGCCCTCTGGAGAGAAGCACACGGATCTCAGCGAGCTGATGTGCACATCACTGTCATCCATGGGGGGGTCGAGCTGGGTGTGGCTGTGGAGGGCAGGGACAGAATGGGTGGCCTGGGGTGACCGATACTCACCCCCCACCTCCAGGCAGGAAGCCAGACTCTAAGAAGGTTCTAGGTGCACCTGGGCCCCTGTGGAAAAGCTGGGACTAAAATGGCTTGGGAGTATCTGGCGGAGGGGACTGAAGGGTCCAAACAACTCCTTGTGCTAGTTTCCTTCCACAAAGTAGGTCAGCCTGACTTTCGTTCCCAGTACAAACAAAAAGTCTTTTCTAGGCTGAGAGATGCTAGTTCAGTGGTTCTCAACCTTCCTAATGCCGCAACCCTTTTATACAGTTCCTCATGTTGTGGTGACCCCCAGCTATAAAATGATTTTTGTTGCTACTTCACTGTAATATTGGTACTGTTATGAATCGTAATGTATTAGGCGACCCCTGTGAAAGGGTCGTTCGACCCCCCCCAAGGGCCAAGACCCACAGGTTGAGAACCGCTGTGCTAGTTGCTTCCCAAACAGCAGAGACTCGGGGTGGGGGTGGGGGTGGGGGTGGGCCCACAGCTCAAGCGTGAGGGCATGGGCCTTCATTCTGGAAATGCCAGTTCTTCAGGACAAGACTGTCCTGAGCATGTGAGATGGAAAGGCTTCCAGGATGCTGAGGCCGACTCGTGTCAAAGGCCTACTTCAGGGGATGTAGCTGACACAGGGACCCTCGCCAGCACAGCCCTGCCGTGCAATGAGCAACGGACAGTCCCAGAGCATCTTTTTCAGCCCCACCGACCCTTCCCGGGTCCCAGCCTCAAGGACCCATGTCCTAGGCAGGCAACTCGCCAGTCACCCCACACGGAGGTCTCCAGCAGGGGGCGGTGCTTACTGGAGTGACCGCAGCCTCTCGCCAGTGTAGGGGTCCCACATGATCACGTTGGTGTCGTAGGAAGCCGTGACAAGCAAGGCTGAGTCAGGGGAGAAGTCGCAAGAGACGACACTGCTCTGATGGCCCTCCAGCTTCCGGATTAGTGTGTAGGATCGCATGCTCCAGAGAAAGACCTTTAGGAAGCAGCAGGTGTTCAGTTGGGGGTTGGTGGGGCAGCCCAAGGAGTACAGGGCCTCAGAAGAGACCACCCTGTCCCTCCCTCTCTGGTCCCATAGCCCCCGGGCCAGGTAAAGCCTCCTGTCGTCCACAGCCCTGCCTAACGTGTCCCTGGATTTAAAGGCAGGTGGAGGCTCTGGAGTGTCACCAGCAGGCAGCCTCGTGGAGCTTATGTTGCCCATGCTGCTGTTGGATCGGTCCCAACCCTTGGTGTCCTCATCTAAGTCAGCTGAGACCTGAACTCCTCGTGCTCTCAGGGACTGACTGCTGCCAAGGCGCACCTGGGTGGACTCAAACCTCCCACCTTTCCATTAGCAGCTGAGCACATTTACTGCTTGCGGCAGCATGCAGAAACTCTGGCGCGTCCTTTGAGCGGGGTGAAGCCGCGCTGCCCGGCAGCAGACTGCTGGCCACTATCTACCAGCAGAGGTTTCCGCATTCCCCTCTGAGCTCTGTTTGCAAACGGGGCCAGTTTGTGTTGAGGGCCCCTAAGCCAACTGCTCTTTCCTCTCCCCTTAAAATCAGAAGTATGGGACAGAGATAGGGAAGCTCCACGGTGACCCCAAAGCAGTGACACCCTGGCTGGATCTTCAGCACCCCTCCTGCCCAATCTTGAGCTCTGACTGGGGAGACATGCTCCAAGACTCCATGTCTGACCTAGCTCATCGGCCGAACCTTCCGAGAATCATTAACAAAAGCTGGGTTTTATGTTCTCTCTTTGAAGAGAACTCATCTTCCCCAAGTTCCAGACCTCAAAAGAATGATTAACTACCTGTGCCCTCCCGGGCGCAGCCCCAGCAAACACTCAACACACATTCAAACACAAGCCACCTGCTCCCCGGAGGCTCTCGGGCTTCCCACACAGACCGGATTGCAGAGCAGAGGGCAACTGGTTCTGATGGGAACTGAACATCCCATTCAGGGGAACGTAACCGGCTCACAGGAAAGCTAGAGCCACTGCAGGCTGCGACTTGTGAAATCTTAAGACTCCCAGGGGATTTAAAAAAAAAAATCAAAACAAACAAAAAACAAAACAAGAACCTCACTGCCATCAAGTCAGTTCGCACAGTGACCCTATGGGGCAGGGTGGAACTGCCTCTGTGGGCTTCTCACACTGTAATTCTTGCCTCATCTTTCTCCCGAGGAGCAGATGGTGGTTTCAAACTGGTGACCTTTTGCTTAGCAGCCCAACAGAGCCACCAGGGCTCCTCCCAGGGGACAAGGAAGCTTAAGCCACCCCTGTGCTACCATGTGGCTTAGGTGCACAACCCTCCATTGATGGGAGCAACTGACAAGTGCCTCCTCTCTTGGGGATCATGTTAAAAGTGCAAATCCAGAGGATCTGCAGGAGCAAGCAGACAGGGTTAGGGTTAGGGACCTCACGGACATACAGTCAGAGGAAGCACGGCACCCAACATCAGAGACTTACAGACTTCTCTCCAGCTGCAGAGCACAGCATGCTGCAGTCCGGGGAGATGGAGCAGCAGTAAACCCATTGCAGGTGGCCTGATAACACCTGGATCTGTTTACCTGGCAGAGAAAGAGAAGCAAGCGGTCAGCCAGCCCGCCACAGGACAAAGCGGGGCTGGCAGCAATGTCCCCACCTACCCAGCACATCCACTGGATTCCCTGTTAGCTGAAGCCCCTAACCACTGCTGTCAATGCCCACCTCATCCCCACTTAGACAGGAACAGCCAGCCTCCTCTTTCCCCTGAGAAGCAGATCGTGGGTTTGAACCGCCAACCGTCTAAGGTTCACATTCAAGGCTTGCCCACCAGCACCAGCGGGGCCAGGTTGCACACAAAATAAGGGGCATTTCAGTAGCAAAGAACATTCCTTCTAGATCCCCATCCTCAAGGCTTCTGAAGCAGCCTTCCCAGTGCTAAGGTAGTTCAGCTCTTGCCTCTGCTACCTCATCACAAGGATCCCACCCCCGTTGACCCTGCTCCCTGCTTCACTAGGGCATCCAGATGAGCAGGCACATGATCGAGCCAAGTCTCAGTGTTTTGAAAAATGGAAGAAATAGCTGAATAAATGGTGGTGTAGCAGTTATGTGTTGGGCTTCAATCCTCATGGTTGGCAGTTCGAAATCACCAGCAGCTCTGTGGGAGAAAGACTAGGCTTTCTACTCCTGTAACCACTTACTACCGTCTCAGAAACGCACAGGGCAGTCGCTATAGGTCAACACTGAATTGATGGTAGTGAGTTTGGTTTGGGGTTTTTAAGTGCTGCGGTGGTGTAGTGGGTTATGTGTTGTACTGCTAACCGTAAGGTCAGTAGTTCAAAACCACCAGCTCCTCCTGGGGAGAAAGATGAGACTTTGTACTCCCATAAAGAGTTAGGGAATCTGTCCACAGGGGCAGTTCTACCCTGCCTTAGGGGACTTGATGGCGGGGAGTTTGGTTTGGGAATGCGTTCCCCTAATGCAGGTGCTGGTGGAGCTAGGGATTTCCCGGGGACATTGATTCATGAGAAAAACACAATATGTGGGAAAGAAGAGGAAGATCACAATTCCAGGTTTCATTTCACAGAACCGACCTCAAATGCCTGGGGTGGGTGTGTGGGTGTGTGGGTGCAGGTGGGTGTGTTATTGCCGTTACTGTTAGTTGTCCCTGAGCTGATGCCAACTCCTGTGCCGAGGAGAAGCGCTCCGACGGGTTTTCAAGGCTGTCGCCGCTCAGAAGAGGACTGCCAGGCCTGTCTTCTGAGTCACTTCTGGGTGGGTTTGAACTGCCAACCTTTTGGCTCATCATCAAGTACTGAACTGTTTGTGCCACCCAGGGACTTCTGGCTCTAGGAGATGACACAATTAGAGAAGAGCAGGGAAGGTTACCCGGTTGCAGGGAGATGGCGTGAGGGGGTGAGGCAGCAACCGAGGGGAGGATGAGAGCAAGAACAGAAAATGAGCCAACAACAAAACCCCAAAGAAACATGTTTCCTAAACCTGCCTCTGGCCGTGCCTACGGAGCCCTGGTGGTTAAGGTGCTGCGGGGTCAGCGTTGGCCTGCTCACATAAGGTTGGCAGTTTGAACCTACCAGCTGCCCTTCGGGAGAAAGATGAGGCTGTCTGTCCCTGTAATGATTTACAGTCTCCAAAACTGTATACAGGGTCACTAGAGAGTTGGCATTGCCTCCCTGGCAGTGAGTGTGCTTTGCTTATGGCCCTGGTTATGCACTTATGAAGTTGATGCACACACACACACACACACACACACACACACACCACACACACACACACACACGCATCTATGCAAATTAGTTTTTTCCCATGTCGATCCTGGTTTTCCAGCTGCCTCCCAGGACGGCTGAGTATTAACTAAATTAAGCCAGTGCTATAAGCAGAGTGTAACACCACTTTCTTCCCCCTGCTCCTTGATGCCCTCGGACAGGATGAACCTTGAGTACTACTCCCCATCAGGCAGCCTTGGCAGCTCCTCTCTGCCTACCCCAACTCCCGTGTGGTCTCCACACCAGCTCTGAGGGGATCCGGTGACGTCTGGGGGCACACTGCCCCTGTACTGAAAGGAATCCTGGGAGGGGCCTTCCCGTCAGCAGGCAAGTCTGTCTATGCTGGCGGGACAATGGGGCGGTGACAGGTGGGTAGAAACCATCTACAGATCTCTTGCGGCATTGAGGTGCTGTCCTGAGGGCCCCACGGCTCCTCCTGGGCTGTGGTTTCTTACACGTGACAAGACCAGACTCATTCCTAAGAGGCCACACCCACCCCCTCTTGTGGCTGTGGAGGGCTAAAGAAGTACTGGCTCCAGGGAAAGTCATGTGCCTTTGCCTGCTCAAGGGCAGCCGCCTTGATACAGACTCTCCACGTGGCTATTTCTTCTTCCAAACCCAGTCTCTCTGGCCCAGCCCACTCTGTGGAGAAAGGATGGAACAGTAAGTGGTCCTTCCGTGCAATAGTTCGTTAAGGATCAAAACCTGTGACACTTGGAATTCTTTTCGATGTCACCTCTAGAGATAGCTCAGCTCCAGGCAAAATTTTGCAAAAGCGCATCTCCTCTAGCCAGAGAGAAAATACCCTAGGTGTGGTCAATACATAATCTGTTGTCAATTTGAGACTTAAGAATGAAAGGGTGGAGTTTAGCCTGTCAATCAGGTCACAGCTTGATGACCTCATTTGGAGGCGCTAAGGAAATAAATAGCTCGCGGAGGCAGGACACACTCACTCCCTGCGAGGCATTCCTGACTATGAGTCTGATGGAGCTACACTGATGGAGCCAGAGCCCTGGAGCTGGAGGAGCTACATGGAGACCACGCCAGCACTGAGATGCTTCTACCGCTACAAGGCTTTCCACCCACTGGCCTGTGAGCTCTAGCATTCGGTGTCATTGCATGTGTTTTGTGAGTCTGAGGAGGACTTTATAGATTAGTATCAGACCTATGGGCTAATATTGGACTGATGGACTTGATCTAGACTGGGGCTGGGATGATTTCTCAATATACATTCACTCTTTTATATAAAGCTTTTTTCTTATACACATATCAGTGCCCAGGAATTTGTTTTTCTAGTCCACCCAGACTAACACACTAGGCCTAGTTTCTATTTCATAAGGAGACGCTCCAGCTCTGAAAGGGCCTAACATTCACCAATCTGGGTCGGTGGTTCTCAACCAGGGAAGACTGACCCCAGAGGGGCACTTGGCCAGGTCAGAAGACACTGGTCTTCACAAGTGGAGGCAGTGGCAGTGACATGGGGTGGGTGGAGTCCATGAAAAGGACTTTGTTCGGTGTCAACAGTCCCGAGGCTGAGACACTCGGTCCCAAGTCATGTCTTTTCCAACAGGAGAGAGAGCTTGTTCTAGGAGGCCAAGATTAGTTCTTGAGGGTGGTTATGGATTGAATGAGGTCCCCCTCAAAGCCCCGGGGGGTGGGGTGGGGTGGGGGTGCAATCCTAACCTATGGCTACAATCCTATTTGGGGAGTGGGGTGTCTTTGTTATGGGAATGAGGCAGGATCAGTAAAGGATGTGTCATGAGCCACTCTCTTCTGAGTTAGAAAAGAGATTCAACAAGCAATCAAGGAAACGGAGAACGAGGAAGAGCGGTGCCAAGCCACAAGAGCATGGCCCAGGAGCAGTCTCAGAGACAAGGGCCTTCCCTTGGAGCCAGGCTCTGCTGGACTAGGGCTTGTAGCCTCCTAAACTCTGTGTGTTAAAGGCCCCCTCTTGGAATATTTTTGTTACAGCACACTAGATGACTAAGACAGGGGCACAAAACATCTTTCTTAAAAATGTACTAAACACACACACACACACACACACACACACACACACACAGCCATATATACTTGTGTATAAGCCGAGTTTTTCAGCACATTTTTAATGCAGCTTTTGTGGTAAAATTAGGTGCCTCGGCTGATATCCAGGTTGATTTATATTTGAGTATATACAATAATCACACACAAACAGATAGTGATCTATCTGTGGAATTAAAGAGGAGCTGTGGTAGCACAGTGATGATAGCACTTGGCTGCTAACTGAAAGGTTAGCCCTTCAAATCCACCAGCCGTTCCACAGCAGAAAGAGCTGGCAGTCTGCTTCCCTGGGGATGTACAGCCTGGAAACCTAACGGGGCAGTCCTCATCAGTCCTATAGGGGCTGCTGTCAGTCCTATAGGGACAGCCCTAGCCAGTTCTATAGGGACAGTCCTAGCCAGTCCTATAGGGACAGTGCTAGTCAATCCTATAGGGACAGTTGTCAGTCCTCTAGGGGCAGTCCACGTCGGTCCTACAGGGGCAGTTCTCGTCAGTCCTATAGGGTCACTACAAACTGAAGCAACAGCAGTGGGTTTAGCTCTTTCTGGTGATATTAAAATCGCTCCAGGGGTGGTGATTAATACTTTTTTTCTAAAAAGGCTCTTTCCAGAAAACTCACTGCCATCAGGTTGATTCGATTCACAGTGCTCTCTAGAAAGACTCCTTAGGATGTGATGGTGGAGGGGGAACGCTGATAAAAAAATGTTCTAGATCACCGGTTCTCAACCTGTGGGTTGCGACCCCTTTGGGGGCTCAAACAACTCTTTCACAGGGGTCGCCCGATTCATAACAGTAGCAAAAGTACAGTTATGAAGTAGCAACGAAAATAACTTTATGGTTGGGGGGTCACCACAACATGAGGAACTGTATTAAAGGGTCGTGGTCTTAAGAAGGTTGAGAACCACTGTTCTAGATGGAAGGACACTGGAAAAGTGGAGAGAGAGACCATGGGGTATTTCTGAGGCTGCCGAGAAGCTCCGTCACGTACCATGTTTATTCAGGTCCCAGATGCGAAGAGTTTTGTCCCGGGATGCAGAGACCAGGATCAAACTGCCACTGGGTGTGAAGCTCAGATCTCTCACGACATCCTGATGGCCGGAAAGACTCAAAAGCAGGAACCCTAGTGTAGGAGCGGGAGCTCTCAGTCAGTGGCGGATGTCAATGCTTCACTCCTCAGATCAGACGGGCCCACGAGCCACCCAGCACCCCATGCCCAGCAGAGGAGACCTACCTGTCTGCACCTCCCAAATCTTGATCTGCCCATCGTTGAGCCCTGTGGCCAGGATCAGGCCTGAGACATCTGGCACTTGGGGATGGTGGCGTGCCCAGAGTCTCCTGCTGGGTGGGGAGGGCCACGGGCTGAACGCCAAGCCCCAGACAATCTGACCGCAGTCCAGGGTCTTCTCTTTGGGGCTGCCTCGTCCTTTGGGGTCATTTTTGCTGCTTCGGCTCTTGGCTTCAAACCCTTTGGGGATGCTGGAGAAAAGAGAGATTGCTTAAAGAGTGGGGGAATTGTTACCCAGAGTGACCTTTCCACTCTGCACCACATAAGATTTTGAAGTCCTAGAGACAAACTGGCCATCAGTTACGTCTGACATGCTTTTCATTTAAGATGCCACGTCTGAGAGGCTCCGGGGGCCCTGGTCACCCACTTGTAATAGCCTCCAGAGATGGGGGGGTAGACGTGCTGTGGGGGGTTACCCATGATTTCACACAAGGTCCTTGTACATTTTGTCACACAGAAGGAGACAAGAGCAAGTGGCAGGTCTGTGCAATGAGGGCAGATGTAATGCCTGAGTGCACATCTATAGCTCCCGGCCTCACTGCTCACTCAGGCAGCCCCCAAACCGAGCTACACTGGCCGTCAAGCCACATTCTGTTTCATAGTGACAGGATGCCACATTCTGTTTCATAGTGACAGGATGCCATCTTTGTGGAAGCAGACGGCTGCGTCTCTCTCCCGTGGAGTCACTGACAGGTTCAAACCTCTCCACAGCCAAGTGCTCTCACCACTGCGCCACCAGGGCTCCTTCAGAAAGATGCCAAGGAATTGTGCTGACGGGTGGTTTGGTGCTTCTCCTCCACCCACTGGATTCCAAGCAATTTCACTCACGTTCCTGACAGAACAGCTGACACAGGGACCAGCCAGCACTGGCCAGAAGATCTCTCAGCCCATCTCCGTTTCCTTTGTAATTTCACAGGCCACGAAGCAGAGGATCCGACAAGCTGCATGAGGTTCCTTCCTATGAAGCAGGGCCCCGCCCATTTCCCACTTCGGCCAAAAATGTCTCGAAGCATCGGGATGTGCCCGAAAACATGCCTCTCCTCCGTCTGCAGCCCATTTTGCTGAGTGAGCAAGCACCCCCCTTTCTTCAGTGGCTCTGACCACTCTCTGGTACCCGAGGGGAAGCTGGGGTGTACGGCTACTGGGGTTCCAGGTCCTCCATGCACAGGTATACAGCAAACAAAGCACAGCTCTGCCATCGGGGGCCACTGCACAAAAGGTTTCTCAAGAATATATTTGGCTCGGTGTCAATAGGGGGCCTTAACAAAACCCTAAAAGGTCGTGGACAGCCCCTCACTCCCCGCAGAAGAATTCACTTCAGAGGACAGCACTGAAGCTACAGCTCAGGGAGGACATGTCTGATCAGAGCACACGGGAGCAAATGAAGGGAGAGGAAGACAGAGTGGAACACATCCTGGCCCACCAAGCCTTGAGGACGATATCCTCACTCAGAGCAGCCAAAAGCACAGGGGTCCATAGAGCCGGCCCCACGATGAGACATGACGTCCCTCGCCAACCCATAGTGCTGTGGGGGACAACACTGGAGACACAGTGTGGGAATTGCACCCAATCTGACCCCACCACACTGAGGCGAAACACTAAGGTTGTGCAGCAGAACAGCAAGGGAAACAGAGCAACAAAGTCCCCAGGGAATACCAAAAATAGACTTTGGGGCCAGAGCGTGGCACCCCATCAGACTCGACCAGAAAACACTGCTAAAGGTCAACAAACAGACCTTGAACGACTTACAGGCTTTTCTTTTTTGTTGTTAGTTTTTTTGTTGTTGTTTTCTTTTGTTGCTTTGTTTTGCTGTCTCGTTTTTTGTGCATATTATTATCTCTGCAGGTCTATCTAGATAAGATAGGCGGGATAAACAAGCTGGAGGAGAGATAGGTGGGATAAACAAGCTGGAGGAGAAAATGGACCAACGGTTCTGGGGGGACATGGGAGAGGGGAAAGGAAGTGGGTGTTAACAAACCCAGGGACAAGGGAACAACAAGTGACCCAAAATTGATGACGAGGAGGGTGTAAGAGGCCTGGCAGGGCTTGATCAAGAGCAATGTAACCAAGATGAATTACTGAAACCCAAATGAAGGCTGAACATGATAGTGGGAACAAGAGGAAAGTAAAAGGAAATAGAGGAAAGAACTAGGAGGCAAAGAGAATTTATAGAAATCTAAATACAGGCATGTACTTATGTAAATATATTTATATATGATGATGAGAAAATAGATCTATGTGTATATATTTATAGGTTTAGTATAAAGGTAGCAGATGGACATTGGGACTCTACTCAAGTACTCCCTCGATGCAAAACTTTGTTCCATTAAACTGGCATTCCATGATGCTCACCTTGCCGACACAATTGCTGAAGACAAATGGGTGCATAATCAAATGTGGTGAAGAAAGCTGATGGTGCCCGGCTATCAAAAGATATAGCATCTGGGGTCTGAAAGGCTTGAAGGTAAACAAGCAGTCATCTAGCTGAGAAGCAACAAAGCCCACATGGAAGAAGCACACCAGCCTGTGTGATCACGAGGTGCCAAGGGGATCAAGTATCAGGCATCAAAGAACAAAATAATCATATCATTGTGAATGAGGGAGAATGTGGAGTGGGGACACAAAGCCCATCTGTAGGCAACTGGACATCCCCTTACAGAAAGGTTGCAGGGAGGAGAGTAGCTAGGCAGGGGCATCCCATTAAGGAAGAACAGATAAACCAACTATAGAACATCCATACAATGTTCAAGAATAATGGGAAATCTGCAAACATGGATGATAAGTGATACAGGATGCGAAGCAGTCAAACATGTCCACCACAAAAGGACAAATGGTCTGTGAGACTGCTATTATAAAAAGTCAAGGAACGGTTATGGGGGTAAGAGGCTGAGAAAGAGAAGATAAATTTACTGACTAGAGCAGTGGTTTTCAACCTTCCTAATGCCAAAGGGGTCAGGACCCACAGGCTGAGAACCGCTGGACTAGAGGGTACACATGCTGTGTGAGACCGGGTTGACCAGAGAAACAAATCCGGGGACATTCATATATGTGTAAGAAAGAGCTTTATATCAAGGAGTAATTATAGAAGCTGGGAGGGTGGGGGAGGCAGGGGGAAAAAAAGGAGCTGATACCAAGGGCTCAAGTAGAAAGAACATGTTTGAAATGATAGTGGCAACAAATGTATAAATGTGCTTCATACAATTGATGTGTGGATGGTTAAAAGAGCTGTAAAAGCCCCAATAAAATGATTTGTTAAAAAACAACAACAAAATATTGAAATACATAGGCTTAAAAAAAAAGTCATTATATATCAAGACAACATCCCAGCCCAGTCCAGATCAAGTCCGTAAGTCCGATACTAGTCCCTAAGTCCCTCTTCAGACTCAACACAGTTATAAGCAATGCTGCAGGATGCAGGGAGATCACAGGCCAGTGGGTGCAGACGTGTGGATCCAATGACGGTGGCTCTGGCGGCCTCTGAGTGACTCGTCAGCAGGAAGGTGACGGCAGACAAGAGTAGCCTGCCTTCAGAGAGCCATTTATTTTGGTGGCACCTCCAAATGAGGTCATCAAGCTGCGACCCGATTGACAGGCTTATAAACTGCACCCTTATCTTACCGGTGCTGTGCTGGCACAAAAAAACCCTAAGTACCACACATGCCAATACAGGGGAAGGGGAAGGCAGTATTCGGTAAGGGGAAATCGGCAAACAGCGATGGAGGCAGGGAAGACACTAGGAGGAGCGCTAGAGTTCAAGGCAACAGAGGTGAATACTGTGATAGCCACTCATGTAGTAAGGTGACCGGCAAAGGCATGCGTAGACACACGCATTTAAAAGCTCACGATTGACCATCTAAGATGCAACTACTGGTCTCTCCCTGTCTAGAAGAAAAGTGACGAAAATCAGAGATGCAGGGAAACAATTACTCCCGTGGATGAATGGACCACAGAAACAGCAGTCTACACTGACGACACCGGAAGAACCAGACTGACTCACTGCTCTGAAAGGGGTCAAGTTAGAACATCCCGAATAAGGCACAAAACTCAAAATCATTGTTAAAAACCCGGCTTCCTGATAAGAGACTAGTGGAACTCTGAGACTATGGCTCTCTGTCACCTTGTATGTCTGAAAATATTCTGACTCCCATGGTTCAAAATGCAGCTCTCTAAAGGGAAAGAAAACACCAGGGAAATACACACCATTTAGAATAATCAACCAGGAGATCAACAGGGCAGCGCTTGCCCAAGGACAAAGTTCAGAAGGGTGAGGAAACGAGGAGGAACCGGAACACAGAGGAAGGAGGATCAGCAGTGTTGCATTGTGGGACTGCAAAACAGGAAATGGAATGTGTGTGAACTGTTGGGTGGAAAACTGATCTCTCCGGTAAAGCCTCACCTAATCACGCACACACGTACACACACGTGTAGTGAGCCTTTACCCAACTCACAACTGAATGCCCATGACATGTTTTGCACACACAAAGCAACACTGGCTTCTGAGGGGGAACTGTTGGGTTAGTTAAATCCAAGACAGAGAGGTCAACTGAGCAAGTCACGGGTGTTTTGTTTGTCTCCAGAGGGAGTCATCTTGATCGGCTGTCTTTAGGGACGTAGGACCAGCAATGGAGCTGATTACGAAGTTTTAAGAAAAGTGAAAACTGCACTGGCGAGAAGGTCAAGAAAACTGCAAAGAGGAATCTTTCTTCCGTCACGGCCAAGTACCTGCTCCTTCCTTGAGGGTAGGAATTTCCTCATCCACCGGCAAGATCCACCTGATCTTGCTCCTTCACGCAGCTTTCTGTTCCCCAAACTCAAAGAAAGAAATGCAACTTGAGTCCCTGGTGGATGCCCACACTGGCATTTTGATATGGTATGCATGGAAGAACGCTGAATTCTTCAGGGAAAGGTTAGAGATGCAACACCACCTTCAGAAGTGTACAGACCTAGGTGGAGGGAATGTTGAGAAACAGAAATTTCACGTTGGCGCATATTAATAAATGTTCCCATGGCTTTGCAGCAGTACTTTTGACTTACCCTGTTAGAGCAAATTGAGAGGGATGAGATTTACTGTATAAACTCGAGTATACGCCAAACTGAGTATCAGCCGAGGCACCTAATTTCACGACAAAAATTGCATTAAAAAATGTGCTGAAAAACTCGGCATATACACGAGTATACATGGTATTCCAGGTCCACGAGCATTCCTATAGTTGATGTATCTGTAACGGACGTTCACTGTGCATTACATGGGTTTCCCCAAAAGTTTTCAGGACCCATTTTTGCAAATTGTGTTGGTTTATACATTTTAAAGCGTTTTAATCAATCTAGCTATTAGTTTTCTCATCTATAAAATCAGAAGGAAATGAGGCAAGTATAGGTTCCTGCAGCTTTAAAATTCGATGGCAGTCACGTACTACACTTAACTGTCCACAAGATGGTCTGTGAAGCAGGACATTGTGGGATTTGGACCTAGTACAAACACCAGGTCATCCTCTGGTCTTGTTTTGTCTGAGCAAGCTTCACGTCTGACCAGTGACCGCCGCTGTGCTGAGGCAGAGGGATTCACTTTTGTGTTTGGTCCTCAACTCGTTTGGTCCTCAACTTGCAATTTCTCCACAGCGAATGCAGGTCCCTCTGGCATTTTTATTAGCCTGGGAGCTTCCGTGGGAGCTAATCCTTTCCCAGCTTGGAGAATGTTCCCTTTGTTTTTAAGGATCAGTGTGATGGTCAAGTGCAACAGCATTCATTGATCCCTCCGTCTTTGTGTTGTTTAATAACCTTCACTGCTGCTCTCAGCGCTGGTTGGCTGCGCTGGGGGCCCTGATGCTCTAGATGGTAATATTTTCAAATGAGAATTAAACAAAGAGAGAACATTTACAACTCAGGAGACATGTGATACATGAGACTGGCGGCTGCTGTCTACAAGCTGAAGGACAGGGTACACTGTTAGGCAGTCAATGTTTTAGATGGAGAACACAGGACACACATAAGCATGTATTATGACTACCCAGACACGGATGTATTACATATGGTTATATATGTACCGTCATTCCACGCCTGGCAATGCAATTGCTTTGCATACATGAGACGTGTGGGAAGCTGTAGTATTCAGTAGGTCCCCTTCTCTGATTGGGATTCCTGCACACTGCAATAGCCTCTGGGACCATGGACATTTTTGCAGTCGAATGATGCCCAACAGATGTTATGCCACACGTGACTTTTGTCGAATGTGAGGCTGGCAACTTATTGCCCAGGCTGGCCATCGATTTGTGTAAATCCAGGTTTACTACATGTGCTTCCTACTGTCTGGATGATGCACCTGAGTCCCAGTGGTCCACCAAGCCTGCAATATTTACCATCTGCTGATCCCTCACCTAGGTGCCCTACTGTGATCTGAAAATGTAATTCACCAATAACCGGAATGTGATGGTGTGGTAGCTCCAGAATCTAGTGTCAATTTGGGACGTGAGAGGATTAAGAGTGAAGGGGTGGAGTCTCATCTTGTCAATCGATCATTGCCCATGAGGCCTCTGTGTGGGCCTGGCCTTCTCCTGAGAATTCTGGGAAATCCTGTATTCCTTCTTGGAGGAGGGAGATACTATCTTTGTCTCTCCACACTCCCTGGGAGACATTGCAGCTGGCAAGACACATGGAAAAACCTACTAGCCTGAGCTGGAGAAGCCACAGGGACCTACCCTGATGCAACCAAACCTCTGAAGCCGGAGAAGCCACGTAGAGACCCCTGCCAGGGCTGAGATGCTGACAACGCCACTGGATCCAAAGACTTTCTACCCACTGGCCTGTGATTGTCCTGGATTCGACGTCATTGCATGTATTTCGTGAGTCTGAAGAGGACTTTATAGATTGGTATCAGACATATGGGCTAGAACTGGACTGGGTTGGAATGCTTTCTTAATGTACAATTACCCTTTATAGAAAACTCTCTCTTATACACATACGAGTTTCTATGGATTTGTTTCTCTAGTCTAGCTGGACTGACACAGATGGTGACTGTTTTTCGGTTGGGCCTTCTTGCTTGTCAGCAACCCAACCTCCCCGGACAATGATGGGCCCACCTGCCTGACCTTGGGCCCCAGCTTTGCTGTCACAGGCACCACTCAAAAGGCAGGTTACCCCAGAGCAAAGCACTCTTCGAGAGAACGATCAGTCTGAGCGCCTGCTGACCACTCCAAAGAGCCGATCAGCTGAGAGGGCAAGAGTTTAAGTCAAGGAGCCCTGGTGGCCCCGCCGTCAAGCACCTGGCTGCTACCAGGAGGCGTATGAACCTACCTCAAGGTGGCTGCAAGGGAGAGAAACGAAATGATCTGCTTCAGTAGAAGGCGGCCCTGTGGGGGCAGTGCTGCTGTACCAGGGGGGTCACTAGGAGTCAGAATTGACTGGGAAGCACCCCAAGAGGCTTCAATCAATGATGTTGCAACAGTACGGGCAGAGATAGAGAGGACGGTGAAGCAGCATGAAGCAGGGAACCAGAGTCACTGAACTGCCTGAATGAATGAATGAATGAATGAACGTTTTCCCACAGAATAAAATGAAGTAGTGGGAGACAGAGAGACGGGTTTCCAGGAGACTTTTGGCAAGGCAGCTTGGAGCTTCCAAACTGAATTGTTGTTTTGGTTTTGTTTTCTTAAAAAACAACAACAGAAAACCTTGTTTTCCCTTACAAAACAAAAAAAAAAGCGAAAATATTTAATTAAAATTTTAAATGATTTGAAGATGTCTAAAAACAACAAGGAGTTAAACACTTTACATGGAAACAATAGCGTATGTTTTTGTTTTTTTTTCTTCATAAAGCTACGTAAAAAACAAAGAAAGTTTAACTCAGGGCTAAGCCAGTAGAACGACGTTTCCTGTGACAGGGATAGCATCTAGTTCCTGCACTTCCCTTTTCTTAGTGTCTGGCGGGGAGAGGGCCACAGTACGGGAGTGCACCCCTCAGTTCCTCAGGACCAAGGCAGGGGAGTACTTACAACTGTTCCTCCAGCGGCCAGGGGATCAGCTTGACGATACAGTGTCCTTGAGACCAGGCAAACCAGGAGCCATCGGGGGAGAAGGCGACACTCCAGGTCTCACAGCTGGACTTCCAATCAAACTGGTGGGGGCGCCCGGGCTTGAGTTCTGCCAGCAGCAGTGGCTCCTCTGCGGTGGGAAACAGCATGCTTCAAGTCCACTCTCCCCCTTCCTGGGGCAGTCGGGGAAGACAGGCTTCCTGACCACCTAACTGAGGGCAGACACAGGAAAGCAACAGGCTTCCAGGGACAAGAGTGGAACTTTCTGGGTTCCGAGAGGGAGTTGCCACTTACATGACCCGGAGAGCTAGCAGTAGCCACAGACCACATACCACCACACTGACTCAGGCCTGACTCCTGCAGGTTACCTGGGACTCAGTAACCTTTGAACAGGAGCTCAGTGAATGGAGCCTTTCCCAAGAAGGCTGCGAGACAGAAAGGAAGTAGAGAGCTACTCGCACTAGGACTGGGCTGGAAGGTTCAGATCGTGTAGTCTAGGTTTTAGAAAACCCCAGGGACCTGGATGGTGCAAATGGTTAAAACTCAACAGCTAGCCCAGAAGCACACTAGTGGGAAGACCTGGTGATCAATCTACCTCCCACAATGCCACACTGGACATCCTACAGAACACTGGGCTGCTCTGTCATCATGAGTGGGAATTGCTGGACGGCAGCTGGTTCCAACTAACCTGCTCCTGAGAATCTGAGAGACAAGAACAGCTGGACTCAAGGGTCCCCTCTCACCCACTCGCATCAGCACCCTGTCCTCCTTCCTCCTGCTCACATCCCCCCCACCGCTCTCACTTCCATCTCCTTCGGTCCTGGTTTAAACCTTCACCACCTCTTGGCCAGATCTTTGCCACATCACCCAAATGAGTTTCCTGGCCCACAACTGTCCCATCCACTAGGCCACATTTCACCCGGCGTCACTTCTTTCAAACATAATTCCAAGGCTCCCAGCTGCATGCACGGTGGAGAACATCAGGCCCAGCCGTCCATGGCTTGGCCCTACAACCTCCTGTCCAGACCACTTCCCTGCATGGGACACTCTGGCCCCACAAGGCTCCTGAACTCACATTTCCATCTGGACCCACCTGCTGCTTATGAGCGCCCCACCCGGATTCACAACCAGAGAGCACACCCAGAGAACACGTGATAAAAATGGAAATCAATGCCACCTTGGGTTATTTTCTTCTCTCCAGCTGTACCAGTTTCCCTCTTGGCCCCGTCCCAGAATTTAAAGTGTCTTTATTTAAGCACCCCACCACCCATCTGTCAGTTAGTGTCCAACCAGACTCCACACCTGCCCCCAGGAAGGTGACACAGGCCTGGGCCACGGTTCATGCTCTTCTACACAGAGTGACCATGAATCAGAGTCCACGCAAAGGCAGCTATCAACATTCAGATAATACCAGGACTATTTAATCAGGGTTCCTTCCTCCTTCGGCCTCGCACAGCCTCCTGTGGAAGGTGGGTCCCTGGATGTGTGCCACAGCAGCAGTTTCAACGACAGTTTTCTGCTCTGCCAGGCCAATCTCAGTGACTGACCGGCTGGTATGGTTCAAGGCCCTCAGAACGGATTTCTGTCTGTGCCGATTGAGAAACACTCTAGCATCATAAAGCTGGCTTCCATCCTGAATGAGGTTACTTCCTGAGGCATATATTCCGCTTTAGTTGTGTTCGGACTTTGACCCTTGTACAGCTGCTATGAGATAATGCCTGAATTGCCTCCTTGTGGAAATGATAAAGAAACACACACACCCACAACCACACAAGCAGCCCCTGGATGAACAAGCACCACTCCTAAATCTGTCTCTAGGTCGAATTTGTCGTTAGGTTGGAACAATGAGGTGCTGTCAGTTAATCAAATGTTTGCCTTAGTTTATAATGCACAGTACACCTTTCTATGCGTGGAAAAACATTAAAGGGCCCTCCAGGCCCAGGAAAACATCTTTAACAATACTATCGTGATAATAATCAGTCTTTTGATGTGCTGCCAAGTGGGGCTCCCCTGTTTTTACAAGGCATGCATTCACCCCAGGCCCATAGAATGCGGGTGCTGGGGGTGGGGGAGGCTCTGGGTGCTGGGGTGCGGGCTGAGGGGAGTGGCTGGGCCAATGTACCATGCCGCCCAACCACCACATGTAGGTCTTTCACAGCTGAGAGGCATGGCCCTGACCTCAGAAACTAAGGAGCAGGGGTGTTGAGCTAGCAGAGGAGAGAGAACTGTTACATTCCCTTCTGCTTCCCGAATTCTTGTCTTTATTTGTGCTGTCTATAAAGGACTGTCACTGAGTCAATTCTGACTCATAGGCACCTATTCCAGAAGGTTTCTGAGACTATCTTTACAGGACTCATCTTTCTCTGGAGGAGTGGCTGGTGGGTCTGAACCACCAACCTTGTGGTTAGCAGCCCAATGCTCCCCCCACTGCACCATGAGGCACTCCGGAAACACCACTTTCATTCCTTCCTTCCTCCTGAGTTATCACTTTCAAAGAGGTAGAAACTCATAGATTTAGCTCTCCACCTTGTTGTGAAGAGAACTCTAGTGATCCAGGAATTGGTACTGGGTGCTTCACAGGGGTTGGGCCTTAACTATGGTTTGTTCATAAACCAGTCGTTCAAAGCTGGGGGACTGCCTGTGGGTCAAAATGTGAAACAGTGTGTCTTGAAAAGAGGAATGCTCTCCCTGATTCTACTGTTTCCCATCCTCAATTCCCACCTCCCAGGATACGATCCCCCCCATTATTCTTCAGCTAAAATCCAAACTCAGAATTCTTTCTGCATAACCCGACCCCTGCCCTCCTTCTTCCACTGGGTCTTATATACCTGCTGTCTGTGCCCTGGGCTCCAGCTCACTGGCCGCAGGGCCTTTGCACCAGCGATTTCCTTTACCTGGAAGAAATGGCCAGCACCTTTTCTTCATTTAGGCATGCCAGCTCAAATGCCACATCTGCCCAAGAGACCCGCCCTGACAACTCCATCAACTCCACAGGATGAGGGCCTGCGTGTTTACCCCAGTGCCTAACAGAATCCCTAGCAGAGAGCGAGCAGTCCGTAAATATTTGCTGAACAAATATACATGGGCGATCCTCTTGAAATAAAAACGAAATGAAGGCCCAGAAACGAGGAAGATGCTTCTGCCAACCATTTTCACAGGAGCCATACCCAGAATTCACACTCTATTTCCGACACCTAGGGGCTTAATCTCTTGCTATTTTCAGGTGCAGGAATGTAGGAGCTAAAAGAAGGAAACAACACCTAAAAAAACCCCACTGAGGCATGCTTCCCTCTTGGCCCTAGAACTAAGGCAATTCTGCAGGGGTGTCTGAGCCCAAACTAAACTTGGCTGCCGGGAAAGAAAGCCCTAATTAGTGTGGAATCTAAGAACCACACTGCAATGCAGTAAATTATCTAATATGACTCTTGCAGCCACAGCCTTGGTTACGCTCACCCAAGGATCTTCGTTTTCCTGATGGGTCTGCGTAAAAAGGTGGGGGAGCGGACACTGATTATATGATTCAACTGTGGGTGACTGTTAAACGGGGTTCATTGTGACTGCCCTCCTACTGGGTATAAAATGAACCATTTCCGGGAGCAGGAAAGGGGCATCTCCAGCAAGAGAGAAGAGCTGGAATGGAGACCACCAAGGTCCCTGCACAAGTAGCTGAGTGCTTTAGGGCAGGAGACTAGTTTGTGGAGTGGGGTCCCTCTGGACACTTAATTGGGGGAGCTGGCTAGGCTGAACCCGACTGCCTTCGGATTGAGGCTTACAGCAGAGTGGAATGCCGCTGGGGCATCGACTGGCAGCCCTCAAAGAGCTCGGTCACATTACCAGAGCAGGGTAAGACCCAGGCCAAGGGGCTGAGGGCCAGAGAGAGCCTCCCTACAGGCACGGCTGAGAAGCAACCGTTCCGACTGAACAACTGTATCCTGAACATTTCTCACCTAAAGTGCAACCGGTTAACTTTCCTAATAAACCCCATAATCCTGAGTATCGTCTATGAGGCCTGTGTAGAGCCCCATGAATTAAGGAATCTAGATGGAAAAGTGGAGAACTGTGGGAAAGGGCAGCTAAACTAAACTTGGCTCCTGGGAAAGAAAGCCATCATTAGTGTGGAATTTAAGAAACAAACAAACAAAAGACTGCCCAGAGGACATCCAGTTCTATGTGGGATTGTATCAGCAGCAACCAGGGGTTCCAGTTTTCTAATCAAGCACTGGGCTGGGGTTGGCACACTAGGCTGACTGGGGAAATGGTTATGATTGGGTATCTTCTGTGCTGGGTGATAGGCCTTACTTGTCAAGTGGTAAAAGCTAGGGCCGAGCCCACAGGAAGCCCAGCGACTTTCCGGCCTCAAGACCTTCCCCAAAGCTGTTTCCATCAGCCTGCAATGCTCTTTCCCTGGCCAGAGCCCCAAATCTTGGCCCAGGTGCTCCATCTTACCATTCGGGGTACAGCTGTGCCAGCACAGAGCTTCGTGATCTTGAACTCTAAAGTAGCCCCATTTCACGTCCTTTATAACTTTCATTCCCAGGTATCTTATTTGCTCATTTGTTGTTTTGATGGTCTACTGAATAGGCTCGATTGCTTTCTCCTCCCCCACTAAAAAGAGAGAACCTTCTTTAAGTCAGGACCTTGAGACTTGTGCCAGTGCGCTGTGTGGTCCAACGCGGGGGCTGCAAGTCAAGCAACATGATTGTTGCTAGGTGCTGTGGAGCCTGTCCCCACTCCCAGCGACCCCAAGTGACACACAGAACTGCTCCACGGTGTTGTCTTTGTGGAAGTCGAGTTTATCACCCTCTGAGGCGCTGGGTAAGTTCAACAGTCAACCTTTCAGTTGGCTTAGCAGACAAATACTTTACCACTGATTGCACCTCAAGGCTCTGGTCGGTGGCTATGAAAGACATCCCTCAATACTGACTCACAGCAATGCTCTAGGGCAGAAAAGAACTGCCCCTGTGAGTTTTGGAGATGGTAACTCTTTACCAGAGTGGCTGGCTGGTGGTTTCGGACTGCTGACCTTGCAGTTAGCAGGCCAGCGTGTAACCAACATGTTGCTAGGGCTACTGCGCACTCAACATGTGGGGAGCCCTGATGACATTGGGCCACAAGTATCAAAGACACTCCGATGATCAAGGCCTCGGATGAAAGAGAAATGTAAAATGGCTCAAGAATTTGAAATTAATCCTAAGTTGAATGCCGTATAGACTCGTGTATAAGCGGAGTTTTCAGTATATTTTTAATGCATTTTTGGTGGTAAAACTAGGTGCCTCGGCTGATATTCGGGTCAGCTTATCCTCGAGTATATACAGTAATAATATTCGGGTACAGTGGATTGAATGAGATATTTTAAAAATTCATTTCATTGTTTCACTTTTTAAAATGAGGCTTCTAGAAACTTTAAGTTATATCACATTTCTCCTATCACGTTCCATTGGCTAGTCCTGGCCTTGGTTGGGGGGGGGAGGTTAGATGCCCGGCACATGGTAAACACTCAGTAAATATTGGTTGAATGAACACATGAATTTTAACTACTGCAGGGGCGGTATCTACTCATTGTCCATTATAATTCCGTGACAATGGGCTTTTATTCCGTTTCAAAACAACAGAAAACTCTCTGGTCTTTTCTTACAGTAGCTCTGGTAAGAAACACGCAGCCCGTCAGTCACTTAGGAAAAACCCAGAACTGGAAACAGATTCCAGTCAGAAGGGGAAGCCAGCTACAGATCGCTTTCAGATTTAAATGCAAGTAGCCCATGGAAACGACAGCGGAAGCTATAAAAAGATTCAGACAATCATGAAAACAGCAGGGGCCATTGAAAGAGTTCTATGGGAAACATGGTGAGAGAGAGTGGGCCTTTATCCAGAAGAGAAGGCCGTGAGAGATGCCACTGATCCACCTCTTGGAAGGCTGCACCTTTCAAGCAAAGTCACTGCCCAAAGTAAAAAGCTACACCACCCCAGGGAATACCCCCATTTCCACCTACCCACCAGCAATCCCTCTCAATTGGATCAAACACGCCAGCCAGCACAGATCGCAGCCAGCAGCATCCTGTTAAGAGGTTGAAGGGAGGAAGCTGTGTCTTTGGTGAGAATGTCAGAGGATCTTTAATAAATTCTGACCCTGGTGCGAATGACCTCCACAGAATCTAGCTTTCAGCACAGGGGAATCAGTGTTTGGATTAGATGGTGGTTGGAAAGGGGAAGCCCCCAGGGCTTTTGAGATTTTTGCCTGTACATAGCAAGCTTGCATTTTCTATTCAGAATGGCTTTCAAAGCATATCCAATATCGCCCAGCTTCCAGTTTTCTGAGGATGACATTCATTCGCATGGCTAGGGCTAAGTATCTCACCCAGCAGATATATCTTAAACTTGCCTGATCATGGGCGTCACCAGCCAGCAGCATCCATCCGCAGCCCCACCCCACCTGAACTTGTCCCCACAGAGGACAGCTCGGAATATGTATACAAGAATAGGAAGGGACTTCAAAAAGTTCGTGGGAAAAATTCCACCGTCTTGGAATTCTTTGAATTGCATTAACCCATGAACTCTTGGGAAGCCCCCTCTTGTTGCAATACATATGTATATACATTGATAACATAGATTCAACCCTCTCGGCTTGCGCACAATGCAGTGACATTGATCTCAGATGACTTTTATGAAGAGGCAAGTTTGGAATGATCCCACCCACCCACTGAAGAGGGTGCTATTATTATCCGCACTGTGGCTTGTCCAGGACCACACAGCTCACAAGGGGCCGAGTTGACTCCTGTCCACACTTGGACCCAGGAGCGACGAGGCCGTAATTCAGCACTTAGGCACCCACCCCCTTGTAATTTGGCACCTGGCCACCCACCTCCACCCTGGGGTATCACCCCTTTGGGGTCTCTGGCGCCCCGCGCCCACCCAGGAGGTCCCGGAGGAGGCAGCTCGCCCCCACTCCCCACCCCAGCAGTCGCCCGTGGCCACTGACAGCGAAAGTGAAACAAAGCTGGGACCAGGCACAAACCCTCCACCCGCCCCCTGCCCACGTCCCGGGCTTGGGCGCCCTGCCGCCTCGGTGTCCACCCACCCTCCACGCCGAGCCACCACCGGGATTCCCCCAGGACCCCGGGAGGCCGGGCCTCGGCCCTGCCAGGGCGATCGGCGCCCGGCCGCACTCACCTCCGGCCTCCATGGAGGACACGCTGCTCCTGCGGC